ATAATAATAATAATGATAATTAATAAACAGCTATATACCAGGGACACTTTAACGGGGGTGGAGTGGGGAATGGGGTAAGAAACACTCGTGTGCGGGAGGGAAGTGCACGGGACTATGGTGATGACACATGGGTGACTTGGCGATGGGAAGCCCATGGGGATGGCAGCTGAGATGGAAAAGGGCACAAAATGATGTAAAAAAAAAAAACTATAATATTATTAAAAAAACATTTGCTGATTTACGGGCCTCCCTGGTGGTCTAGGGGGGTGTCTCAAACTATCAGCACTGCATCTTGAGTTCATCCCCAGCCAGAGGGCGCAGCAGACCTCTCCTGTCTCCCTGATGCTCCCCTCAGCAGTGGATTTCAGTAGATCCACCTGTTCTGCTCCCCATGTTATCTCTAGAGAATCCTCTTACCCCTGCGATTCTGGCCTACATCCAGCTCTTGTTTGCTGCATCAATCAATAAAAAATAAATCTTAATAAAAAGTTGGCTGATTTCAAAATAAAACTCTCAAGTCCATTTTAATGCAGCTCTATTAATTTGAGTAAGCTTCCTGAATCAAGTGAATTGAATAATGGAAGTTAATTCATGCACCTTTGGTATCAGAGGTGAATACGGTCAGGGAATTGCTCAAGAATACCTTTATCTGGCCCTCCCTGGTGGAGCACAGCCCTGCAAGCTGGCCACAGCGCTTCAGTGTGAGTTCGATTCCCCACCCCGGAGGTGACCCCCAGGGCACGGCACACCTCTCCTGACCCGCCTGCTGCTCCCCTCAGCAGTGTGCTTCGTCCATCTGCCTGTTCTGCTCCCCGCTTTGTCTCTGGTGAGTCTTCTCATGGCCCCTGCACCTCTGGCCCGTACTCCAGTTCTGTATTCATAAATTAGTAAAAAAATCTTTAAAAAATCTTTTAAAAATTTTAAAAAAGAATACCCTTGCCGCTGCATCTCATCGATGGCTACCATTCATCTTAAGAGCAGCAATTAAGAAGAGGTAAACACGTTCCCTCCTGGGCTTGGAGTCCATGAAACCTGTAGGGTGAAGATTTTACCCAAATTTAGACCTTTTCGTGATGAAGTTAATTTACTCTTTTCTAACTGTGACATCCTGTTTGTAAGAAAGAAGACTTAAAAAAAAGTTCTCTTGAGCATGAACTAGCTTCTAAAATCAACATCTTGGTGAACTTAAGTGTTAAGTGAGTCACAAGTATTTGGATGAAGATTTTTTGGTTTTGAAAGAGAAAGTACTCGGAAAAATGTCATTTTGGTTTCACTGAAATGGAAACATTTGAAAAATGGAATTCGCAAGGGGGCCCGTTATGTACCAAGTTTCCACACACTTTTCTCACATAGCTTCTGTGGTGTGTGGTGTGTCTTCCCTGGGGCAAGGTAGTAACCCTTATGGGATGCATTTGGGCCTCTGAATCCTTCCCAGAAGTGACATTTTCAAAAATGCTGCCCCCCAACATTTTTACATTCTCCTGAAGGTCATATTATTTATTTTGTGAAGTGTGTTATTAAAAGGATTATTTGTCCCTAAAGAAAGCTGAACTTCTGTCCTTTCTGGCCTTTTAATAGTTGTGGTTTTTTAAAACAACTCTCTCAGATGTTTTAATTGTATTATTTTAAAGATTTGTCTTTTTTTTTCTGCATAGAAGAACTGGGGTGCAGGCCAGAGGTGTAGGGTTGAGCGGGCCCATCAGAGACAGAGTGGGGAGCAGAAGAGGCGGATCATGCACTTCAGAGGGGAGCAGTGGGGAGACAGGAGGGGTCTGCTGTGCCCTGAGGTCACTCCTTGGGTGGTGATCTCAGGCCACAGGGGCTGGCTATTGCTGGAGAGTGTGGAGACTTTAACCCCTGAACCACCAGGGGGGTACTAATTGTATTGTTTTTTATTGGGACATCTGGTCGACTACACTGGATACCCTTGAAGGATACAGGTTCACCGCTCTATAGTGTGTTACAACACTTCACCCACCAGCCAAGCTCCTGTCTTCCTCCCCCAGGGTCCCTTTAATATTTGAAAATACTTAGTCGAGGTAGAGTAATGCTGTATGCAGAATGTTACATTTGGTCCTGATGCATACCGGAGAGTTGTGAGCTGGATCTGGTGGTGTTGACACTGAACTCCACTTCTGATCTGCCTGTTCCGTGTGGGATCTGGGCTTGAGGTTCCTGTGAGTCCAGTTTGAATCAGAGTGGCTCCCCATTCTTTAGAGTTCTACTATCTGCTGTCAACCACCGTCTGAGAATACCCCGTCCAGCAGGTGTTAGGAGAGAGAGGCCATTCTCAGCGCCTCATTACAGCACACTGTTACCCCCATTTTATTTATTTATTTATTTTAGATTTATTTGTTTATGCATACAGAACTGGGGTAAAGCCAGAGGTGCAGGGGCGGTGAGAGGATTCAGCAGAGACAGAGTGGGGAGCAGAACAGGCAGATCCACTGAAACACACTGCTGAGGGGAGCAGCGGGGAGACAGGAGAGGTCTGCTGCCCGTTGTGGGTCACCTCCGGGGCCGGGGATCGAACTCGCACTGAAGCGGCTGCATCCAGATTGCAGTTCTGCGTCTTAACCCTCTGTGCCACCAGGGAGGCCCTATTTTAGTCTGGTTATTCTTGCTCTTACTTTGTAAGCTACCTTTCTCACAAGTGTGTGTGTGCAGGAAGAGACAGTAGATCTAAGCTGCCTAATGTGTGCAATTTCAGGCATCACAAGGTCTTGCAACATGACCCCTGAGTGGGGGCCCCTGACTTTTTTTGTTGTCGCTGTTTCCCCCTGGGGTTACCTGTTCAGGCACAGGTATCATCCTCCCAAGTGAGGGTCATTGGTCATCTAGAACCTTCCTCACGTCACGTCACGTCACATCACGTCACGTCACGTCACGTCACGTCAACCTACTGGTCATCAGCCTTGATTTTGCTGCTAAAACACCTCTGGGCCACAGTCATTTCTTAGGTAGTGAAGAACAGAAGCTTCTCAAAGGACTTCCCTGTCCACCTCCTTCTCCGCTACTAAGTCTCAGTGGTACTTAGGCCTCTCACGAGGCGGGACCAAATCTTGGTGACTAGATGCCACTTAACTCTTTCTAGAAGTCTCTTCTGTCATTCACTCCTGAAGCCCCACCCCATGTCTAAAAGTTCTTTTCACACTAACTTCTCAATGTTTTGATCTTCATTACTCAAGACTATTTCTTTCACTCTGTCCTGCTTGGAGCTAAGATAACACTTCTGTGTCATTTAGCAGGATTGTCTCTCTTGCGACTCCTCGCTACAGCCCGCCATAACCGGTTGTCTCTGTGAGGCTTTCTAGGCTAAATTATGACTATCTCTGACCTATCTCAGTGTTTGGGATAATGTGTGGCAGGAGGCGGGTGGGGTGTGTGTGTGGGTTGAAGGGGGGTTGCTGAGGTAGGGACTTGTGGAAAAAGTAACTCTCAGGAGCAATTATCATACCAAAGGCATGGAGAAGCAACAGATTAGAATAAAGCAAAAGATGGCCCTCCCTGGTGGCTCAGTGGCTTAAAGCCCAGCACTGCGAAGCTGGCCAGCATGAGTTCTATCCGGCTGGGGAGGCGACTGACCCACATGGTGCAGCAGACTTCTCCTGTCTCCCCGCTGCTCCCCTCAGCAGTGTGCTTTGTCAGTCTGCCTGTTCTGCTCCTCACTCTGTCTCTGATGGGTCTTCTCAACACTACATCTCTGGCCTGCACCCCAGTTCTGCATGCAAAAGTAGATAAAGCTTTAAAAAACAAAAAAAAAAAGAATGCTCACAAAGAGCACCTTTGTGACGGTTCACCTGACAGCTCAGGGTGTAAATCGAGGAACATGGGCTTCCTCTGAAAAGCTGGAGCAGGGTCTGCTCACATCAGACCCTTCAAGGCACCTTCTCTGGTGATGATCATGTTGCTCCTCTCGAGCGCCCCCTGCTGTCCAGGTTGGCCTGGCTGGTGGTTCAGTGCATCGCCCAGTTTGCCTGAGTTTATTGGCCAGGAGGGTGAAGGATCCACTCAGCTGTCATCTCTGCCTTCTGCCCTACACAGTAGCGGGAAAAGGAAACCTTGTTATGGGAATGAGGTGTCTCCACCATGATGATAATGCACAGAAAGAAATAGGTTGCAAGGGAACAGTGCAGGGGCTTGCTGGGAAGAGTGGACTCAACCTGGCCCTGAGGGAGGACACAGTGCGGATGGACCGACCAGCCAGTCCAGCCTGGGGGTTGGGGGGGCCCCTTTTGCCGTGACCAATAGTGTTTGCTTTACGAACACGATGGTGCCTTGTTCTTCTCAGGTGGCTCGGACATCGAGTACCTGGACTTCTACAAGCCTGTCGTGTGGTTTTGGATCCTGGTGGGCCTGGCCTACTTCGCCGCCGTCCTGAGCATGATCGGAGACTGGCTCCGTGTCATATCCAAGAAGACAAAGGAAGAGGTGAGAAGGCAGGTGGGCGGGGGATCGAACTCGCACACAAGCGGCTGCAGCCAGCCTGCAGTGCTGCGGCCTTACCCATTCAGTTTTATTCCATAAAAAAAAATACCAATAGGAAAAGAGTTGGTGTCATGATGTCAGTAGCAAGCCATAATGTATTATGTAATTGGGCGATTTTTTCTCACACCCGATTACTTTTCCTTAAGCTTTCTCATGAGTCAAACCCGAATGTCAAGCACATTGTTGTGATGATTCGTTTAAAAGAGGAAATATTTTCATTTTAATGGACAACCAAGACACAGGTTAATGAGTACAGACTGAATACTGGCCGTTCGTCCTGTGTGCAGATTTCAGCTCTTGAAGAGATGTTCTCCGATCTCTTTAGTGTAACTAGCCTCCCAGAAATGAACATCAGCAATTTGACTTATGAATTTGGGGGCCATTGGGCATGTAAAGCTTGGTTTTGAAATATTATCGTTTGGATATTGAACTTCTGCTTCATAGTTCCAGGTCCAGAAGCCCTGCGAGTCTGAAAGTGACACAATAGAGTTTTTTTAGTCTCTTCTGCATCATGAGCAGCGAACATTCGCGTCAGGATCTTTGATAGAGACATTAAACACGGCTTCTTCAAACATAAATCCAAAGGAGGTAGAGTAAGAGAGTAAGTCAGGAAATGATGAAGGTAGATTGTGTTTACAAGCATTTCCTCCATTGTCTTTGAAGCCCATCAGATGGTATTGTTAATGCCTGCCTACTGCTGAGGGGAGCAGCAGGTGGGTCAGGAGAGGTCTGCTGAGCCCTGTGGGTCACCTCCGGGGCTGAGGATCAAACTTGCACTGAAGTGGCTGTGGCTAGCTTGCTGTGCTGCGTCCTAACCCGTTGCGTCACCAGGGAGGGCCCAGTATTTCCTATTTTAAACAAATCATCAAGGCAATATGCTTGACATTCTGGTTTGAGTCGTGTGAAAGAAAGGGAGAGAACTAGAAAACAAGAGGGGAGGAGATATTAGTGGTGTGGGAGATCATGGAGTTGTAACTTCAGTGTGCTTTTTAGAATCTTGGGAAGCTAAGAGAAAAAAAAAGGAGATGACGATTTGGAAATGTTTTAGAGACATAGCGAAGAAGAAAATTGTCAAACTAGCTAGTCAAGGGTGGCTTTCAAACATACATGAGTATTGCTTTCTTACACAAAATAGAATTGAACAAAGATATCTCCTGCAAATGGAGAATTGGGGGAAGTATTGTTTTGTAAAATATGAGCACAGATAGTCTCTAAACACACTATATATGTCATGCATGCACAAACTGTGTTCACATATGCATCTTAAGAACCACGGTCAAGAAGCTGGAAATCCACAAGGCTCAAATACAACAGGGGAGATTTTATCTTTGTGGCACTGGTAGAGAATATTTGACAGCGCTTATAAACAACTCAAGAGTTTCTTTAAACTATGTTAATAACAGCTAGTACCTCTGTGATAGGAGTCGCTGGACCAAAGCATTAGCATTTTTCCAGAATGTTATTAAAATGTCTACAGGAGTCCCCTGGGGGGCTCAGGAGTTAAGTCTTCACACTGTGCATTAACTTGTGCATCTACTGAGCTATACAAAGCCGAAATTGTCTAATGACACCTGTTGCCTGGCTGAAGACACTTCATTTTTTAAATAAAGTTTTACTTAAAAACTTTATTTACCTGTGGGGCCAGAGTGCCATCCAGCCAGGGAGGCACCCCCAGGGCACAGCAGACCCCTCCTATCTCTCCGCTGCTCCTCTCAGCCGTGGACTAAAGTGCATCCACCTGTTCTGCTCCCCACTCTGTCTCTGGGGAGTCCTCTCACCCCCTGCACCGCTGGCCTGCACCCCAGTTCTTCTATGTGTAAATAAATAGGTAAATCTTTCAAAAAATTAACTTTACTTAAAAAGTAAAATCTCTACAACCATGCAACAGGGGTCATTAGACAGTTTTGGCTCTGAGAGAGCTCAGCAGATGCACAAGTGAATAAAGCCCCACTAAGAACATTCTTGTCATCTCACGCGAGACACTTCTGCTTCTAGACAGTTTCAGATGATCCAGCTTGCAACATTTTATTTTTATATCATTTTGTACATTTTTTTTTTTTGCATCTCAATTGTAATCCCCACGGGTTTCCCATCACCGAGTCACCCGTGTGCCATCACCATAATCCCATGCA